GAACGGCATCACCAAGTATTCGTAGGAGCCGTATCTCGTACGGAACGCCGTCTTGTGGATCGAGTTGTCCGCCATCTTGATCTGCCAGTATCCTGACCGTAGGTCCAGCTTCGAAAAGACTGTTGCACCACGCAGTTGGTCCTGTAGGTCGTCTATGCGCGGTATGGGGTATTTGTTTTTAATTGTCTGTTTGTTCAGTGCGCGGTAGTCGATGCACATCCATAACCTGTCGTTTGGTTTTGGAGTGAAGAGAACTGGTGCACCGTAGGGAGAGGTGGATGGGCGGATCAGTAGTCTGTCCAGTAGATACTCTATCTGTTTCTTCATGTCTGTCAGATCGATCGGACTCTGTCGGTATGGTGCACGTGAGACGGGTTTCGCACCCGGTTCCTCCACGATCTCGTGCTCGTGGGTGCGTGCTGGAGGTACGCCTGCGGGTAGGTCGTCGGGCATTATATCCTTGTACTGCTCCAAGACCTCCTTCACTGAATAATGTCTAAAGGCTTTTTCTTGGCCTTGAAATCTCCCCCTGAATTTTTAAAGGCTTGAAAACCTCGAGAGGAAATATTCTTTCTCTCGGGGGTGTTCGGCTGGAGTTTCTCGGTCGGTGCAGAGTCTTGTTTCGCGGAGCCTCCATTTGTCTCGGCGATTTCCTGTGTTGCCGGCTTAGCGTGGCGTTTAAAATTTGCGCCATCGTGTCCTCCTTTTTTCGCCATCGTGGATGTCGCACTGTTGTTGCCCTGCAGCTCCGCTCGTGCCTTCTTCATTTTCCAACACGCCAAGAATCGATGTCCTGCTGCGCCGCAAAATTCGTACTTCTCATATTTTGTCGACCGCTGCTTCGCGTCGATCTTGTCGATATCCATCGGGTCGGCAGTCGTGGGTGGTGCCGATCGCTCCGTGCCGAATGATCTGTTCGGCACGCGTAGTTGTGTTTCGGGTTGATCTCGCATCAACGCATCGAATCTCTCTGCTGCATACACCATGTCGCGGTAGTTGTTGTAGTTCGCGGCAATCACATGTTGCCGGACTTCCATTTTTAGCCCCTCAGTATACGCTTGGATTTTTTCCCCTTCGGTCAGGTCTCTAATCCGGTTGAAGAGGTTCTCCATCTGCTGCGTGTACTGTGTTACACTGCCGAACTGTTTCTGCCGATGAATCTGCTGCCGCGCCATGTAGCTAGAGTTGATTGGTTCGAAACGTTGAAATAAAGCTTCCACAAACTGCGTCCATGACCCCTCGCCTCGGATCTTATTGCTGTTATAAATCCACTCGAGCGCCGGGCCTCGTAATAGTGTCACTGCGAGTCGAATCCGCATTGCATCGTGTGTCGGGGTCGTACAGCTAACGGCTCGAAGTAAATTTCGAGGGTCGCAATGAATCGATGGACGTCGGTGTCTCTTCAGAAGAAACGAGAATGAATGACTAAGGAATGAAAGTGATACAAGTATGCAACCCTAGAATTGTGTACCCCATATAGGCACCCCACTACAGCCTACACAACATTATAATTTGACACACCCCCATAGGTAAAGTGGGGGAGAACAAGGGGTCACAAGACCAGTCAAGCACAGCACAGCAAGCTCAGGGTGGATCACAAAGTCACCACACATTCCAAGCACAAGTTCAAGGCCACAAGGCCAGTTCACATGCAGGAGTACATATATATATAGAAGGTAAGACAAGCAAGAGCAGGGGTATATATATGTAACAGTACAAGCAAGGTCAAGAGGTGAGCAAGTGAGGCAAGATAGGCACAACACCAAGCTGACTACAGAAGCGCTGATGATCACAAGGCGCAAGTGCCTTGGTGAAGATATCAGCAGTGTTGGCCTCAGAGGCCACGTAAGCAAGACGGAGCTGACCACGCTGCTGCAGCTCACGAGCAAGGGAGTAGCGAAGAGCAATGTGCTTTGTTCTGTGCTCCAGTCTCTGCTCTCAACACAAGGCCAGCATGGCCTTGTTGTCTACGTACAGCACTCGAGGAGAACGAGGCACCTCGCCAAGGTCAGTCAGCAGGTAGGTGAGCCAGCGAAGCTTCTGTGCAGCCATGGCCCCAGCGTAGATCTCAGCCTCACAACTGGAGCCGAGAACAGAAGACGAGCGAGTAGCCCGCCACGAAACAGAGCCGGAACCAAGGCTGAAGGTGTAACCCTGTGACGACCGCAGCGTAGCCTGGTCGTCTGCCCAAGAAGCGTCTGCGTGCCCAGTGAGGACCACCGGACTCCGCCCTCCAAGCACAAGCCGCATGCCCGACGTACTGCACAAGTAGCGCAACACCCTCTTCGCTGCAGCCATGTGCTCCGGTCTGTGTCTCCCAGGAGCAACATAGCGTGCGAGAATGCTAAGAGGGTATGCAAGGTCAGGTCGTGTGCAGGTCATCAGGTACATGAGGCAGCCAACAAGCTCCGGGTACGGGCCACTCGACTCTACGGACTCATCCGAAGGCAGAGCTGAGAGCGAGTGACGAGTAGGCCGAGGAGTGGCCTGAGGCGAGGAGTACGTGAAGCCGAAGCGCTGAAGGACCTGCTGCACCATGTGTGACTGAGTCAGGGTAATGGTGCGTTGTGCTCTGTCTCGGGATGGGAGAGAAGGTCTGAAAGTAGTCAACTCCCTGCCGCTGACTGAATCCACGAGCCACGTACCGCGCCTTGAAGACAGGCGGAGAACCCGGCGGCCGCTTCACCCAGAAAATCAACATGCCACTGACGATGTTCGCCCGAGGTGGGGGAACCTCGTCAACGTAGGTGCCTGTGGACTTCCAGGAAGCCATCTCTGCATCCATAGCTGCCTGCCACTGAGAGGAGTAGGGACCCTCTATCGCCTCCGCGTAAGAGCGCGGAGTCGGGATGTCAAGTGCATCCGGGTCTCCCTCAGGGGTAAGCAGTACGGACACGAGATGAGGTGAAGCAGCAGCCAGACACTGGAACTCCTCCTGCCTGTCCTCAAGGACGTCCGTGCCAAGGGCACACTCACCCCCGACGGACGGAGGACAGACAGACTCAGACTCAGCGACAAGACTAGCAGCGTAGTCTAGATGACAGCGAGCAGCAAAGTCGATGAGCTCAGCAACTAGGGCAGACACAGCAGTGGACTCAAAAGAAGGGTCAGTGACGACAGTAGCAAGGAGACGCGTGACAGTAGGACTGGCAGCACGAAGAGAGTCCGACTCAGGGTCGGCAAGAACATGAAGAGAGGACTCATGAGGAGAAGGCAACGGGGCACGCAGAGGAGCAGTGGACGGACGCAGAGACATCCGGTGCGTGCCAGGGACAGGAGGAGGACGCTGACGCGAACCGTGACCACTAGTTCGAGCAACACAGACCGGTGACGCAGGGCGAGACGCAGGCTCACGACGCTCAGCAAGACCTCCAGTAGGACCAGTGTAGGGAGATGGAGCAGGCAGTGGGGAGGTCGGCTGTAACTTTTTTTTTTTGTTTAAGAAACGAGAATGAATGACTAAGGAATGAAAGTGATACAAGTTTGCAACCCTAGAATTGTGTACCCCATATAGGCTACCCCACTACAGCCTACACAACATTACAATTTGACATCTCTAGCATTCGGATTGAATGTCTCTGGTAGCCTCGGACGTGCCGCCTCAAGATTCACTGTAGCTGCTGCCGCTGCTGCTGGGTGAAGTGTCCGTATCGCTGCTGCTGCTGCTGGCGTCGCTGCTGCATTCGCTGCTACGTTCGCTGCTGCTGTGGTGGCTACTGACTGGTTCGCGAGAAGCTCCTCTATTCATTGGAGTGCTGCTCGCGTCTGGTCCAGGCCGGTGTGTAACTCCATAATCTTTCGTACGGAATTATCACCGTTTTCCTCTGTCAGAACATTATAGCTTACTTGTTTGTGTAGGCTATAGTGGGGTATCCCATAGGGGGTACAACCCAATTAGGGTTTCCTATTTGTACTCACCTCGTTCGTAGTCAATTCATTCACGTTTCTATTTTCACATGGAATCAGAGCAGGTCCCATCCTAGGGACTGTTCTCTAGGGCCCACCGAAGCGCCCCGAGGCGCGCGTTCTTTTTTCTCGCGACCCTCCGTGTCGCCCTTCCCCTCGCGGCCCCGCCGCCTCCTCGACGCGGCCCCGCCGCCTCCTCGACGCGGCCCCGCCGCCTCCTCGACGCGGCCCCGCCGCCTCCTCAACGCGGCCCTGCCGCCTTCTCGACGCGGCCCCGCCGCCTCCTCGACGCGGCCCCGCCGCCTCCTCGACGCGGCCCCGCCGCTTCCCTACCTGCGGCCGTCCCGCCGCCCTGCCTGCGGCCGTCTGCCGTCCTGCCTGCGGCCGTCCCGCCGCCCTACCTGCGACCCACTCGCCGCCCTATCTGCGGCCTACCCGCCGCCCTACCTGCGGCCTACCCGCCGCCCTACCTGCGACCGTCCGCCGCCCTACCTGCGGCCGTCCCGTCGCCCTACCTGCGGCCTACCCGCCGCCCTACCTGCGGCCGTCCCGCCGCCCTACCTGCGGCCTACCCGCCGCCCTACTTGCGGCCGTCTGCCGCCCTACCTGCGGCCGTCCCGCCGCCCTACCTGCGGCCCACCCGCCGCCTTACCTGCGGCCCACCCGCCGCCCTACCTGCGGCCCACCCGCCGCCTTACCTTCGCGGCCCGGCCGCCCTACCTACGCGGCCCAGCGGCAGCCGAGCCGCCCAGCAGCAGACGAGCCGCCGAGCCGCCCAGCAGCAGCCGAGCCGCCCAGCAGCAGCCGAGCCGCCCAGCAGCAGCCGAGCCGCCCAGCAGCAGCCGAGCCGCCCAGCAGCAGCCGAGCCGCCCAGGAGCAGCCGAGCCGCCCAGCAGCAGCCGAGCCGCCCAACAGCAGCCGAGCCGCCCAGCAGCAGCCGAGCCGCCCGGGAGCCGAGCCGCCCAGCAGCCTAGCGGCTGTGTCGTCTGGCGACCTTCCTCCTGAGCCGCCCGACCTGCCCTACCCGGTGAGCACTGCACTGCTGTCACTGCGTACCCTTCCCCTACTGCTTGCACTGCGCCACTGTCGTCGTCATGGCTACACCCACTGTCCTCACTTTTGACGCTGAGGGTCGAGCCATTGACTTTGAGGTCTGGCTCGACGACCTGCAGCTGTTTTTACAGTGCGATAGGGCCGACAGTCTGTCTCTCTTTGACCTCACCTCTGGCGCTGTCCCTGCCCCTGCTGCTGATGCTGACGCCACTGTTCGCTCTCAGTGGGCCACGCGCGATGCTGCTGCACGTCTTGCTGTGCGTCGCCACCTGCCTACCACTGAGCGCGCGCACTTTAGTCAGTACAAGAGTGCTCAGACCTTGTACGACGCTGTAGTTGCACGCTACTCCTCCCCTGCCACTGCTGCACTGAGCCGCCTCATGCTCCCCTTCCTCTTCCCTGACCTTGCCGCCTTTCCCACTATCGCTGATCTCATCACGCAACTCCGCACTAGTGACACTCGCTACCGCGCTGCACTTCCTGCTGACTTCTGCGCCAAGAACCCCCCCCCCATGTACATCACTCTCTACTTCCTAGTCACTCGCCTCCCTGACTCCCTTCGTGTAGTCCGGGACCACTTCCTTGCGGTCTGTCCCACCACCCTCACCGTCGACAGCCTCGAGAAGGCCCTTCTTGCAGCAGAGAAGAGCATAGTTGCTGTAGGAGCCTCTCGAGGTGACCCCCGCGCCCCCATCTTTGAGGGGTGTTCTCCTTCCCCTCTCCTGCCCTCTGTTGCCTCTGCCGCTGCGGCCGACCTCGTTGGTCTTGAGTCGGTCGGTGCGGCGTCTACCCCTAGCGGGAGACGCCGCTCTGGCAAGGGCAAGGGGGGCAAGGGAGCGGGTGGGGCCAGTGGGGGCGGTGGAGGTGGGGGTGGAGGCGGCGGAGGGAGTGGGGGTGGCGGTGGAGGTGGTAGTGGGGGTGGGGGTGCTAGTGGCAGCGGTAGCGGCGGGAGTGGCGGCGGCGGTGGCGGTGGTAGCGGAGGTGGCGGAGGTGGCGGCGGTGGAGGTGGGGGCAGGGGCGGTGGAGGCGGAGGCGGGGGTGGCGGAGGTGGAGGTGGTCGGAGTGGGGCTTCGCAGTGGAGCGGCACTGGTGGCGGTCAGCGCCAACAGCAGCAGCAGCAGCAGCAGCACCGTTCTCGCGACGTCCTCACCCCCCAGCAGCTCCGTGAGTGGTACACGCAGCGTCAGCGCGGTGGGGGTTTTGGTCCCTGCACCTACGTTCTCCGCACTGGCGACCGCACTGGAGAGCAGTGTGGGGGTGCCCACCCCGCTCAGCGCTGCTTTGGCCGCCTGACATTCGCTTGGCGTCAGCAGTTCCCGGAGGCCGCGGAGATCCCCTGCTGGGGAGAGCTGTCTAGGGCTGGTGTAGCTATCTTTGATCTTGATTTTGATGCTATCCTTGCTGCCATGTATGCTGTGACCGCTAGTGAGGAGGGTGACTATTACCGGTGTTTCCCGCCCGACCCGGGCATTGGTACTGCTGCTCCAGGTACCGGTGAGGCTTCTGCTCTAGGTGCCAGTGCGTCTGTACTCCGAGGTACTCGTGAGACTGCTCTCTCAGGTACTAGTGCGTCTGCGCTCTCAGGTACTTCGTCGGCTTCGGCCTCCCAATCCTTAACTCTTGACTCTGGAGCGTCTCGCTCTTTCTTTCGGGACCGCACCACACTTACGCCGCTTAGTCGGCCGGTTGCAGTTTCCCTGGCTGACCCCTCTGGGGGTCCTGTCCTGGCTCGCTTCTCCACGGTCCTCCCGTGTCCGGCGGCTCCCTCTGGCACCCTGTCTGGTCTCTACCTCCCCTCGTTCTCTACGAACTTGGTGAGTGGTGCTGACCTACAGGATGGGGGAGTTCACCAGTTCACCCCTGCTAGTCAGCAAGTGACGCACTGCACGGAGGCTAGCACGGGTCGTCACCTAGCTACGTTTACACGCCAGCCAGGGTCGAGCCTGTACACACTGACCACTGCTTCTCCTCCAGGTGCTGAGTCTGGTAGCGTGCCTTCGTCTAGTCAGGTGTTTGCTGCAGCGTCCAGGTCTGGTCCTGAGTCTGCCCCCTGTTCGTGTCGCCGTCTGTCTCACGAGACCCTCCTCTGGCACCACCGTCTTGGCCACCCCTCTCTGCTTCGGCTCAGAGGCATGGCCTCCCGGTCTTCTTGTGTCTGGTCTCCCCCGGTCTCTACCTCCCCTTCCTCAGGGCCCTGGCCCTGCCTGTGTCCCCTGTGTCGAGGGGCGCCAGCGTGCTGCCCCTCACTCCTCCCAGTTTCCTCCGACAGAGGCTCCGTTGCAGACGCTTCACATGGACGTGTGGGGCCCTGCCCGCGTCCGTGGACTCGGTCACGAGCGCTACTTCCTGCTGGTGGTTGACGACTACTCGCGTTACACCACAGTCTTCCCCTTGCGCAGCAAGGGTGATGTCACTGAGGTGCTGATCGACTGGATCCGCGCAGCTCGTCTCCAGCTCAGGCAGAGCTTTGGCTCGGACTTTCCTGTGTTGCGTTTGCACTCGGACAGAGGCGGAGAGTTCTCCTCTGGCCTTCTGCGTGCCTACTGTCGTGCGCGAGGCATCCGCCAGACCTTCACGCTTCCGGACTCCCCGCAACAGAATGGGATTGCAGAGCGCCGCATTGGCATGGTCATGGACGTCGCTCGTACGTCCATGATGCATGCGGCTGCCCCCCATTTTCTGTGGCCGTTTGCGGTCAGGTACGCAGCGCATCAGATCAACCTCCACCCCAGGGTCTCCAGGCCGGAGACCTCCCCAGCGCTGCTGTGGACGGGGAAGGTTGGCGATGCGTCAGCGTTCCGGGTCTGGGGATCTCGGGCGTTTGTCCGCGACTTGTCTGCGGACAAGCTGTCCCCTCGCGCTGCTCCCTGCGTCTTCCTGGGGTTCCCCCCCGACGCTCCAGGGTGGCAGTTCTACCACCCCACCTCTCGACGTGTTCTGTCCTCCCAGGACGTCACGTTCGACGAGTCGGTACCCTACTACCGCCTCTTCCCCTACCGCACTCCGTCCCTCCCCCCTCCCTTGCTCTTCTTGGTACCAAGTCCCCCCCCGGTAGACCCCCTTCCCCCTCAGGGTCCTGCCCCTTCAGGTGTGTCCCAGGTAGACGCGGTCGAGCCTGTCGAGGTCACTGGTGACTCTGGTGCGGCTGCATGGAGCTGAGCCTAGGGGGTGCTGAGACTGGAGGTACTACGCCTGTGGGAGCTGAGCCTGGGGGTTCGGAGTCTGGAGGTGCTGAGTCTGGGGGTGCTGGGCCTGGGGGTGCTGAGCCTGGGGGTGCTGAGCCTGAGGGTGCTGAGCCTGGGGGTGCTGAGCTTGGGGGTGCTGTGCCTGGAGGTACTGAGCCTGGGGGTGCTGAGCCTGGAGGTGCTGAGCCTGGGGGTGCTGAGACTGGGGGTGCTCCGCCTGGAGGTGCTTCGTCTTCGCCGAGAGCCACTCTCCCCTCAGGAGCTACGTGACTGGTTTGCCAGACGCTGGAGGCGTGCTGCTGGTGCTGGAGGTTCTTCGGCTGCAGAGGGTGCTACTGCCGAGCGTCCCGGCGGTGCTCGTACTGTGGGTGCTGGAGCTGCTGGGTCTGAGGGTTCTCCTGGAGCTGGTGCTGCTGAGGGTGTTGACGCTGAGACTGCCGCTGGAGGTCCGACTGGCGGTGCTCCTGCTGTTGCTGCTGGAGGTTCGGGAGCTACTGGAGGTGCTGCTGGAGCGGGTACTCCTGCTGGGGGTGCTGGTGCTGTCCCTGCTGTTTCTGGCGTCGCCGCGCGGCCCCGGCCGTACTTCGTTCCGCTCCTGCAGTAGGTTCTTGGTTTTTCACCTTCTTCTGGTCCTCCTCCTCCTCCCTTAGAGGGTCCACAGCCTTTCTCGTCACAGTCACAGCTACAGCCTGCCTCCCCTTTGCCTGCTCCTTCTCCCTACGCTGGTCCGACTGGAGGTCTTACTGAGCGTCGTGAGCCTGCGTCTCGTCCTGCGTCGCCTGTTCGTACTGTGCGCGCTAGTGGTCGCGGTTCGCGTCAGCGTCCTCCTCCTGTCCCTGGCACGCACCGGATGTCTCTGCGTCCGTCCACTGCTCCACTGCGTGCCCATTTGCCTTCTCCTCCTGCTTCCTCTCTTCCTACTCTTGCCGACCCGGAGTCGGACTCTCTTCGTGCTGCCAGTCCTACTGTCACGCGTCTCCTTGCTACAGCTGTCACTGACCCTTCTTTCGAGTCTTCTGCTGCGACTGCCCTTGTCACCTGAGCTCGTCGACTTTGCTGCGCGCTGTCGCCTAGACTACGCTGCTAGTCTTGTTGCTGAGTCTGAGTCTGCCTGTCCTCCGTCCGTCGGGGGTGAGTGTGCCCTTGGCACGGACGTCCTTGAGGACAGGCAGGAGGAGTTCCAATGTCTGGCCGCCGCTTCACCTCATCTCGCGTCTGTACTGCTAGCCCCTGAGGGAGACCCGGATGCACTAGACATCCCGACTCCGCGCTCCTACGCGGAGGCGATAGAGGGTCCCTACTCCTCTCAGTGGCAGGCAGCTATGGATGCAGAGATGGCTTCCTGGAAGTCCACAGGCACCTACGTCGACGCTGTTCCCCCTCCTGGGGCGAACATCGTCAGTGGCATGTGGATTTTCAGGGTGAAGCGGCCGCCGGGTTCTCCGCCTGTCTTCAAGGCGCGTTACGTGGCTCGTGGCTTCAGTCAGCGGCAGGGGGTTGACTACTTTCAGACCTTCTCTCCCACCCCGAAGATGACCACTCTTCGGGTACTGCTGCACGTTGCTGCTCACCGTGACTACGAGCTGCACTCTCTCGACTTCAGCACTGCTTTCTTGCAGGGCAGCCTGCACGAGGAGATCTGGCTGCGTCGCCCACCTGGCTTCACTGGGTCTTTCCCTCCTGGTACCCAGTGGAGTCTCCAGCGTCCAGTCTACGGTCTCCGCCAGGCGCCACGTGAGTGGCACGACACACTGAGGACTACGCTTGCGGCTCTTGGGTTTGCTCCTTCTACTGCCGACCCGTCGCTGTTTCTGCGCACTGACACCTCTCTGCCGCCGTTCTACATCCTCGTGTACGTCGACGACTTGGTCTTTGCCACAGCGGACACTGCTGGACTCGCTTACGTGAAGTCCGAGCTGCAGAAGAGACACACGTGCACTGACCTGGGTGAACTGCGCAGCTACCTTGGCTTGCAGATCACCCGGGACAGAGCACGCCGCACCATTACCCTGACTCAGTCACACATGGTGCAGCAGGTCCTTCAGCGCTTCGGCTTCACGTACTCCTCGCCTCAGGCCACTCCTCTGCCTACTCGCCACTCGCTCTCAGCTCTTCCTTCGGATGAGTCCGTAGAGTCGAGTGGCCCGTATGCAGAGCTTGTTGGCTGCCTCATGTACCTGATGACCTGCACACGACCTGACCTTGCATACCCTCTCAGCATTCTCGCACGCTATGTTGCTCCTGGGAGACACCGACCAGAGCACATGGCTGCAGCGAAGAGGGTGTTGCGCTACTTGTGCAGTACGTCGGGCATGGGGCTAGTGCTTGGAGGGCGCAGTCCAGTGGTCCTCACTGGGCACGCGGACGCTTCTTGGGCTGACGACCAGGCTACACAGCGGTCGTCACAGGGTTATACCTTCAGCCTTGGTTCCGGCTCTGTCTCGTGGCGGGCTACTCGCTCGTCTTTTGTTCTCGGCTCCAGTTGTGAGGCTGAGATCTACGCCGGGGCTATGGCTGCTCAGGAGCTTCGCTGGCTCACCTATCTGCTGACCGACCTTGGAGAGCCGCCTCGTTCTCCTCCAGTGCTGTACGTAGACAACAAGGCCATGCTGGCCTTGTGTCGAGAGCAGCGACTAGAGCACAGGACAAAGCACATTGCTCTCCGCTACTTTCTTGCTCGTGAGCTGCAGCAGCGTGGACAGTTGTGACTTGCGTACGTGGCCTCTGAGGCCAACACTGCTGATGTCTTCACCAAGGCACTTGCGCCTTGTGATCATCAGCGTTGCTGCACGCAGCTGGGTCTTGTGCCTGTCTTGTCTCACTTGCTCACTTCTTGACCTTGCTTGTACCTTGACCTATATATACTCTTGCTCTTGCTTGCTTGATTCTTGTATATCTCTATATATAATCTTGCATGCGAACTGGCCTTGTGGTCCTTGACCTTGTGCTCGGAATGTGTGGTGACTTTGTGATCCACCCTGAGCTTTGCTTTGCTTTGCTTGACTGGTCTTGTGACCCCTTGTTCTCCCCCACTTTGCCTATGGGGGTGTGTCAGAACATTATAGCTTACTTGTTTGTGTAGGCTATAGTGGGGTATCCCATAGGGGGTACAACCCAATTAGGGTTTCCTATTTGTACTCACCTCGTTCGTAGTCAATTCATTCACGTTTCTATTTTCACATCCTCAATTTGGCGATTTATAGGAAGATTTGCGACGAAAAAATATGAATTCTAGGCGCTGGTCATCTTACTGTGAGTCAAATTGACTTCAAAAATTACGAGCGCTGATTCTGTATGTCACGTAATTCTCTCGTAGTTGAAAATTGCGTCCGATCTCGGCCGTTGAGAAGAAATTTGATCCGACGCTCCAAATTCCATCTTTTCTGGGCGAAATTTTCAGGGCCGTTGAGATTGGAGTCGATTCCACGGTCGAAATTCCAACTTTTTCGCCACTGAACCTGAGGAGTGTTCGAAAACCGGTTCGAAGGGGACGTTAGAAAATAGCGCGGAACTGGTTTACGTACCCGAAATCGGCGCTTTCCGTAGTTCTCCCCGTAGTCGAAAAACTTCGCGTGCAAATAGGCTCTGATTACCAAGTGTGAGGATCTAGGATCGAGCTCAGAAAAGAGAGTTTGAATTGAATGAAAGCCTTGGTACAACGCGAGGCTATATATAGCCTCAACACAAGGCCTAGTAACCAGGTGTTACGCGAAGGTTTTGCGGGCCGCGAGGCGTCCCGAAAAGATCCTTCCCGAATTCGGTAGAAGGCAATTCGGTGGCAACCGAAAAGCCAGAATTCGGTGCACGCAACCTAGCTCGGTGCTATAACTATAATAAAATATAGGAATGCACATAGCCTAGGAAATCAAGCAATTCATGCATGCATATAATTATCATATGCTTGTTCTAGCATAATAAAGTAAAGGCAAGCAAGCATAGCTGGCATAAGCCGTCGTACTCTCACACGGTGGCTCAAAATCTTTTCGGCTGAGATGATTGGCTCGGTGGGTGGTCGTGTCATGCTGGCTGGGCGGTTGCGAGGCAGCTGGCTGGTGGATGGCACATAAGGGCGAAGCAGGCTGACGTGGAAGGACGGGCTGACGTACCAGTTAGCAGGGAGGAGTAGGTGGGCAGTGACGGGTGTGATCATGTGGCTGATGCGGAATGGCCCACAATATCTGGGGCGGAGTCTTGGGGTAATGGGCAGGCGGAGGTTCTAGGTGTCGAGTAAAACTAGGTCGTCAGGCTAGTAAGTGAGAGGTCGGCGGTGGCGGTCGGCGTTGCGTTTAGCGATGATTTTTGTTTTTTTAACTGCGTCTGCTGCTCGGGTTCGTGCTGCTTGAAAAATTTCAGCGAATTGTTGCGCTCGTGGCATCGGGTTGTCGGGATTCGAGGTCATGGGTACTGTGGGGTCTTGTCCGTAGTTCAGGTAAAACGGTGACTGTTGGGTCATGGTGGATGGCGAGTTGTTGTACGCGAACTCGATGAGTGGCAGTTGTTGTTCCCACGTGCTTGGGTTGTCGTACGTGGCTCGGATGAGCTGCTCCATGGTCTGGTTTGTCCGTTCTGTCTGTCCGTCTGTCTCGAGATGGTACGAAGAACTGAACTGTAGTTGTGTGCCAAATTGCTGCCACGGGTGTCAGAACATTATAGCTTACTTATTTGTGTAGGCTATAGTGGGGTATCCCATAGGGGGTACAACCCAATTAGGGTTTCATATTTGTACTCACTTCATTCATAGTTCATTCATTCTCGTTCAGCTTTCCACATGGTATAGAGCAGGTTCCCCTGTGGGAACTGTGCCTAGGGCCCACCACTCGAAATCTTTTTTTTTTCTGCCCGAAGCGCACTCATCCCGAGTCGCGCCTCGGGCCACTCCTTCCCCGAGCCGCCCTAGCGGCCGGCCTTACCCTCGCGGCCCCGCCACCCAGTGAACGCGGCCCCGCCGCCTCTTCTCTCGCGGCCCCGCCGCCCAAGCGCTCGCGGCCCCCGCCGTCCCTGATCTCGCGGCCCCGCCGCCCGAGCGCTCCCGGCCTCGCCGTCCCTGATACGCGGCCCCGCCGCCCAAGCACTCGCGGCCCCCGCCGTCCCTGATCTCGCGGCCCCGCCGCCCCAACGCTCCTGGCCCCGCCGCCCCTGATACGCGGCCCCGCCGCCCCAGCGCCCGCGGCCCCGCCGTCCCTGATCTCACGGCCCCGCCGCCCCAGCGCTCACGGCCCCGCCGCCCCTCATCTCGCGAACCCGCCGCCCCAGCGCTCCCGGCCCCGCCGCCCCTGTTACGCGGCCCCGCCGCCCCAGCGCTCCTGGCCCCGCCGCCCCTGATGCGCGGCCCCGCCGCCCCAGCGCCCGCGGCCCCGCCGTCCCTGATCTCACGGCCCCACCGCCCCAGCGCTCACGGCCCCACCGCCCCTGATCTCGCGGCCCCGCCGCCCCAGCGCTCCCGGCCCCGCCGCCCCTGTTACGCGGCCCCGCCGCCCCTGGTCTCGCGGCCCCGCCGCCCCAGCACTAACGGCCCCGCCGCCCCTTGCTCTCGCGCCGCCCGACTGCAGCAGCCGACCCGCCCACCTGCAGCAGCCGAGCCGCCCGGAGCAACCGAGCCGCCCAGGAGCCGCCGAGCCGCCCAGCAGCAGCCGAGCCGCCCAGCAGCAGCCGAGCCGCCCGGAGCCGCCGAGCCGCCCTGCAGCAGCCGCGCCGCCAGCAGCCGCCGAGCCGCCCAGCAACAGCCGAGCCGCCCAACAGCAGCCGAGCCGCGCGGGAGCCGAGCCGCCCAGCAGCCTAGCGGCCGTTTCGCCAGGCGACCTTCCTCCCGAGCCGCCCGACCTACCCTGCCCGGTGAGCACTGCACTGCTGTCACTGCGTACCCTTCCCCTACTGCTTGCACTGCTCCACTGTCGTCGTCATGGCTACACCCAGTGTCCTCGTTTTTGACGCTGAGGGTCGAGCCATTGACTTTGAGGTCTGGCTCGACGACCTGCAGCTGTTTTTACAGTGCGACAGGGCCGACGGTCTATCTCTCTTTGACCTCACCTCTGGCGCCGTCCCTGCCCCTGCTGCTGATGCTGACGCCACTGTTCGCTCTCAGTGGGCCACGCGCGATGCTGCTGCACGTCTTGCTGTGCGTCGCCACCTGCCTACCACTGAGCGCGCGCACTTTAGCCAATACAAGAGTGCTCAGACCTTGTACGACGCTGTAGTTGCGTGCTACTCCTCCCCTGCCACTGCTGCACTGAGCCGCCTCATGCTCCCCTTCCTCTTCCCTGACCTTGCCGCCTTTCCCACTGTCGCTGATCTCATCACGCACCTCCGCACTAGTGACACTCGCTACCGCGCTGCGCTCCCTGCTGACTTCTGCGCCAAGAACCCCCCCCCCCATGTACATCACTCTCTACTTCCTAGTCACTCGCCTCCCTGACTCCCTTTGTGTAGTCCGGGACCACTTCCTCGCGGTCTGTCCCACCACCCTCACAGTCGACAGCCTCGAGAAGGCCCTCCTTGCAGCAGAGAAGAGCATAGTTGCTGTAGGAGCCTCTCGAGGTGACCCCCGCGCCCCCATCTTTGAGGGGTGTTCTCCTTCCCCTCTCCTGCCCTCTGTTGCCTCTGCCGCTGCGGCCGACCTCGTTGGTCTTGAGTCGGTCGGTGCGGCGTCTACCCCTAGCGGGAGACGCCGCTCTGGCAAGGGCAAGGGGGGCAAGGGAGCGAGTGGGGCCAGTGGGGGCGGTGGCGGTGGAGGTGGAGGCGGCGGAGGGAGTGGGGGTGGCGGTGGAGGTGGTAGCGGGGGTGGGGGTGCTAGTGGCAGCAGTGGAGGCGGGAGTGGCGGCGGCGGTGGCGGTGGTAGCGGAGGTGGCGGAGGTGGCGGCGGTGGAGGTGGAGGCGGGGGCGGTGGAGGCGGAGGCGGGGGTGGCGCAGGTGGAGGTGGTCGGAGTGGAGCTTCGCAGCGGAGCGGCACTGGTGGCGGTCAGCGCCAGCAGCAGCAGCAGCAGCAGCGTTCTCGCGACGTCCCCACCCCTCAGCAGCTCCGAGAGTGGTACACGCAGCGTCAGCGCGGTGGGGGTTTTGGTCCCTGCACCTACGTTCTCCGCACTGGCGACCGCACTGGAGAGCAGTGTGGGGGTGCCCACTCCGCCCAGCGCTGCTTTGGCCGCCTGACGGACGCTTGGCGTCAGCAATTCCCGGAGGCCGCGGAGATCCCCCGCTGGGGAGAGCTGTCTAGGGCTGGTGTAGCTATCTTTGATCTTGATTTTGATGCTATCCTTGCTGCCATGTATGCTGTGACCGTTAGTGAGGAGGGTGACTATTACCGGTGTTTCCCGCCCGACCCGGGCATTGGTACTGCTGCTCCAGGTGCCGGTGAGGCTTCTGCTCTAGGTGCCAGTGCGTCTGTGCTCTCAGGTGCTCGTGAGACTGCTCTCTCAGGTACTAGTGCGTCTGCGCTCTCAGGTACTGCGCCTGCTTCGGCCTCCCACACCTTCACTCTTGACTCTGGAGCGTCTCGCTCTTTCTTTCGGGACCGCACCACACTTACGCCGCTTAGTCGGCCGGTTGCGGTTTCCCTGGCTGACCCCTCTGGGGGTCCTGTCCTGGCTCGCTTCTCCACGGTCCTCCCGTGTCCGGCGGCTCCCTCTGGCACCCTGTCTGGTCTCTACCTCCCCTCGTTCTCTACGAACTTGGTGAGTGGTGCTGACCTACAGGATGTGGGAGTCCACCAGTT